AACATGAATAATCCCTATTGGGAAGACATATTAACACTGGGAGCGCTGTCAACGCTACTGTAGGTTTTGCAGGTTCTCTCCTACGTGGAGTCAGGAGATTGAATATATTTTCCCGACATTTCACATACATTTTGCTTTAAGTAAAGTGTATTTGAATGTATTTGATAATATTATTGAAACCATAAATCGTAATGAAAAGCATTGTACTGTTTATATAATAGCAATAGGTATAACCCTTATATCATGACTTGATTTTTAACAAAACAAATTAAAAAATAATAAAATCTGTGATAATTTATAATATTAGGTCTTATTTCATCTTAGCGACAACCAATATGATACACAAATGTCTAAAGAAATACTGTTTAGTTAAATCAGTTTTGATGTGAGGAGTGTAGAAAGTGACATGGATCCAACAAATAGAAAACTGTGGAATGAATTGGATAGTTCTATTGAGAAACCTTACTTTGTACACCCAGAAAGTGAAACAATGTGAGTACACATTTTTCGGATGTTCCACACTTGCTTAAATTTATCCAAAACCATTTTCTTAATCGGTAAAAACAAAATATACTTTATGTTGTATGTTATCATATTTATTTAATTAACGAACATAATTTACAAGTCTGTAAAATACATAAAGTGTACACGAGGTTTTAATAAAACTATTGAGAGTGATGATAAAACATAATATGGGTAGTCCACTCACAGTCTGCTCGTATCACGATTAAAGATAAACTGGTTGCACATCGACTATTGATAAGGTGAAATACGAAATGACTACCAATAATTGACCAGTGGCTCTCCAAGTGGCAGTATTCCAATTAACCAATTATAGATTGGTTAAAATGTTTAAAATTAGTTCTAAATGTTGACATCAAGCGCTAGGGGTTAATTATTAACAACTGTAAATCAATCTGAAAGCCGTTTATTATAGGGCGATGTGCAACCTGTATATCTTTAATCATGGTCCGTATACAACAGGTGGTGGCCATATCAAAGTATATTGAATCGCTAAAGGTCGATATGCAGTGTCACCACATTACTAACAATTTACTATTCTACAAATTTATAATGATTTAATTTGTTATAATTTTGAATTTATATTTATTATAACTAATAACTATAATAATATAATCCACTCAATGATTAAAAATTTAACATAAAAAAAAATAAAATAATAAGTATAAATGTTACGAGTAATCCTTTCACATTTATGTCTCTTGGTTATACAATGCAACATTGTACACTAATTAATTCATCAATTTTTTTTTTTGCTGACGAGGTTATTTTGTAAATAATAAAAATACATATTTATATTGAATAATAATATATATTATTGGCCTTTTAAAATGATTATTTTATTATACCAATGTCTTAAAGATATTGTTTAGTAACTACTTTTACACAAATAATGAATTTGAGTATCAAAATAAATAGAAATTATAGATTTAATTAACAAAATAATATGATTTGTTAGAGGATCACTGTCATGTTGATGGTAACTTATATTTTTAAATGGACAATTTGTAGTAAAATAAGATTACACTTTAGTCTCAACTAACAGTTTATTAACTGGTTTTTTTTTTCACTATAAGATTCTTTAATGTATTTTTCAGTCATCATACATATGGATATGACATCTTCACTAGGATAAGATAAACCTCCTTTAGTTTTAATATTAATAAGAGAATTTAAAAGGTCTTGTTTATTTCCTACTAATGCTGATTCACAGACTTTAAACTGTCTGGCTGTCGGTCAGATTGTTGTTGTGTCCTCCATGTGCCCTAATCGAACCAAATAAAAGTTCTATATTATCTTGGCTTAATTTATAGAAAGGCAAGAAAAGCAAAGCGTTTGAATAAATCAAATTTTTTTTAAAATTTATCAAGCTATTGAAGCACATTAAAAAAACCAATAAAACCAGTTTTTCTCTGAGAATTAATAACGAGTTCCCCATAGGTAAATTTTAAAGCCTTTACATAAGAAAAAAATTCATGAATAAAAGAAAGAGTACTATCAAAATTTTGCTTGCATAATGCTTTTTTATCAACATCATTAATTTTTCTTGAATTTGATATATCAAAAGCGTCATTGAACATTAATATGAACCTAATAGTAGCATCACAATTATTGAACTATTTTAATTTTAAATTATAATTACAAAATTTTAAGGCGTCCGCAACAGTTTTACTTTAATTTTTTTTTAAAGTAAAATATTCGATTTCTTTTTGTCTGTTTGCTAAACGAAATTTTTTATTTTCTTGTAATTCTAACATTTTTTTTAAATAATCAAAGCTAATTACTTTTCCTTCATCATCAATTATGTTACCTTTTTCACCAAATGTGTTTCTAACCAATTTTATCATGTGGGCAGGGGTTGGTATAATATCAATAGGAGGGTAATCATGTAATGAAAAATCAGATTTTAAGTTATTTATGTCAAAGTTACAACCCAATTTTTTTAACCATATTGATATTAGTGGCGCAACCATCAAAAGTAAGACTTATAATATTCACTCCAGTTGTCATTAATTGATCTAAACAGTGTTCCAACAGTTCAGACTTTTGCGAGCTACTTAAATGATTTGTTAAAAAGTAGGCAATAGGTAGTTTCCAAGATTCATTTACAGCAACTACAACAAAAACCAAGCATTCTGAAGCCAATTCTACACTTTCATTGTTAATCCCTGTACCAATGTCAATGTATCCATGATATTGTTGTCTATCCCATTCTAAACGTTTTCGAATGGCCATTTCATCCATAACAAGTGCACAGTATATGGGTTTTGAGGAAATGGAACATTTTAATTTTAAAGCAGATAAAGCTTCACTACTTATACCTGGCTGAGCATCAACATGTGCATACCATTTAGAGAGTGGGCGTGGATATGGTAAAACGCTATTAAACTCATGCCAATAAATTTGTAAGCTCTTGGCGAAAAGAAGTGAAATGAAATAGCAAAGCGACGTAATTACATACTATACTTACGAGTAAGTTTTTCTCCGGAATTTTTTTTTGGTTAATCTTTATGTTTACCAAAATCGTCAAGTAAAATAACTGCTTGATCATCATTAATCATATTTTTCTCTGTTAATGATTCGTTTGTTGTCTTCAGAGGAGTATCTTTTTTTCAACTTAAGCTGCTTCAACAATTGATTTTTTAGAATGGTCTACCTACATCAATAAATACAGCAATAAGTTACTCATTTCTTTTAGTTCTTATTTTATTTTTGTTGTATAACATGCTCATTCTAACTACCTTATTTCATCGAGTAAATCTTATTTACTTACTTGTTTCTTTTTTTATAACAAAAGAAGATTCATTTTCTTTATCAATTGTGATATTTTTTGTCCTGTTATTATTGTCCAATATGACTATACCAGTGACAGATATTTCCTTTGAAGTTACTATTATAATTAACATATATTAATAATTAAGTTTTAACTATTATTAAAACAATAGAAAAACAATATAAAATATCATAGTCAACATTTTCAATTTGAGGATTATTATTTTGACAGTTTAAAAATGGTTCAGTACATGATTCCTGAAATAATTATAAAAGAAAAAACATTCTGTAAAAAATATTATAATTTAATTTTCATCCAAAAGTACAAATTGTACATAGTATATAATTATGTTGAATACAACTTTGAAGAGTTACATAATATATAAATAGTTAAATAAAAGTATAATTAATTAGTTACTTGTAATAAAGATACGGCAGTACTGGATGTATATGGTTATGGTAAAGTTGTTGCTGCAGTATTAGTGTCAATTTTATTGTGTACGTAGGATATATCTGTCTTGGCTAAATTTTTAATAAAGCAAAATTAAATTTATCATAAAATGTTTGTTTAAATACAATTTCCCCATCAATTGTTTATACTTACATGTTTTACACGATGAACAATAATTGAGGGAACTGAATTTGGTTTTATCTGTACAGATTTTTTATAAAAATCAAAACAACGTTTTTCAAAGTGTAAAGAACAAATAACTGCATTCTTCTTCACTTGACATATTGCATACCACTTAGAGCCAAAATCTAACCAGTTTGTTCGTTGAGTTTCATCATTAGGTATCCTTAATAAAACATAATATTTTCTATTAACATGGTCACTAGTCAGCCTTGGTACTTACCAGTGGCACAAATAGGAAAAATGTTTACAGAGGGGCTCAAGCCCCAACACATTTTTTTTTAAATTATAATTTACAGGTACATACTTTTAAGAATGGTATGCTATTATATTCTGAGGAGGCTAAGCCCGCAAGCACCCCTATTTGCGCCACTGGTACTTACATGAAGTATGAACACATTAATACAATTATTTTAAGCATGTAACATACCGGTGAAAGGTGATTTTAGCTACTTTGCATGACTCGTTTTTCGTTCTACCACAAAAAGCACAACTGACCATTATGTAAAAAATTAAATACAAAAATAGTCTGTAATAGTTGAAGTCGCTCATTAATCAGTATTGTAAATTACAAATTACAATTTGTAATTTATAATAATAATGTATAATATAAATTATAATATGTATATTTATACCATTGAGTAAATAATATACGCACTGCGCTGCCATCTAGTTTAAATTGTTTCAACTATTAAAATAAAGGTTGTACTATTATGTTCAGTTGATTCATATCAAAGCACATGGTAATATAGGTAATAGCCTCTCCTTATATTATTTACTCAATGGTATACAACATCTATATTTTCATAATAAGTTATACAAATGTATCAAATATTACACGAGCATAAAAATGATTACAATACAACTACAAATTTGAATTAACAATTTATGTATTATTTATTAAGTAGATACAATTACAAAATGCAAATTAAGTCTATCCAGTATTTTTACTGTTCTACCACTTTTGGACCCTGGTAGTACTTGGGGCTCATGGGCACTACTTAGCTTCAGTAGTTCACTTTTTGTCTTATATTCTTGCCTTCCTAATTTTCCTCTTCTTCACTTTCATTGAGTATCACAATAAGAACCATCTGAAAAATGGGTATTCTGTTGTCGAGATTTTTTCATTAGAAATCGTTTGCATTATGCTAAGTTTCACTTCCATTTTATTTTCCTCTGGTACTTGTTTAAGATCATTGATAAGGGATAACAGAAAAAGTCGGAAAGGATCATCCATTGATTTTGTCATTTCATTTCGATTTTCTAAGCTTTTTTGTATAGATAAAAGCAATTGACTTTCTGAATCCTTATTTTGTGTTTTTATCTTTTTGGATGGCCCTGATTGTGTGATTGTATCTTCATATGCGTGTTCTTCACCAGAATCATTCATGTTATCATTATCTTCATTATCTGGTGGGTTCAGCATCATTGTCATTGACATTTAATATAGCTTGTTTATTTAAAACACACGTTGAAAGAAAAGATAACTGATTGTAATAAACATACGTTTTCCACTATTTACTGCCTGATCCAGATTTCATTGTCTTTCTTTTAGACTGTTAACGTGCATATGAATTTCTAAGGCTTTTCCATTTTGTTGTAGATTTTGCACTGTAATAAAATATAATATTCAAATAATATATAATAATATATTAATATATCAAGATAAGGTTGGATTGATATGTTTTTATTAAGATAACTAATTAACCAGTTATTCAAATTATTTCACTTAATAATACATTTTTTCAGGTAATTTGCTACGGAATGCACTTTAATAGAATTGGTGTTTCAACTTTGAGTTACATTATTCAAGAAATGTGTAAAGCTATATGGACAAACTTAAGGATAACTTATATGCCAGAACCAAAACAAGAAGATTGGTTGAAAATTGCAGATACTTTTTTGAACGTGACAAATTTCCCTAAGTGTATCGGGGCAATCGACGGGAAGCATATTCGCATTGTAAAGCCAGCACATAGCGGATCCTTGTACTTTAACTACAAACATTTTTTTTCAACTGTTTTGTTAGCTGTGTGTGATGAAAATTATTGCTTCATAGCAGTGGATATAGGAGATTACGGTAAAAACAGTGACTCGTCGATCTTCAAAAATTCTACATTTTATCGGAAACTTTTCAAAAAAAACTCAATATTCCAGAAAATACTCTACTACCACAGAGCAATGGATCAAAATTTCCGTTTGTTATTGTAGGAGACGAAGCTTTTGGTTTATCTCAAAATGTAATGAGACCTTACGGAGGAAGACATTTATCTACGAAAAAAAAAGTATTTAATTATAGACTGTTAAGGGCATGACGTTTTATCGAATGTACTTTTGGGATTCTCTCAAATAAGTGGAGAATCTTCCATAGACCGTTAAACGTGTCTGTAGATTTCGCATACGACATTATTAAAGCATGTGTAATTTTACACAATTTCGTTCGTATTCGGGATGGAAATACGTTGGAATTTGAAGACACATTATTTTACGAAGGACTTTTAGATGAAAACAGATCGCCAGATAATACATTGGGAAAAGCAGCTACGAATATACGAGATGATTTCGCTGACTATTTCATGGGCGCAGGAGAAGTTCCTTGGCAATACGAAAGTATCATGACTTTTTTTATTAAATAATCGCTTGATATTAATGGTAAACGTATTGGTTCTATCAATTGGGACAAATTACATATCCTAGAAGCCAATTCATATTTAACAAAGCGCATAACACATTCAAATATCTTTAATATCTAATAAAATAATTGATAATATAACATATGTAAGTAATTTTCCTTATACTAAAATATAACAATATTAATTATGTTATTTTAGTGTTTTATGTGTAAGGTTTTGTAACACACTAGTCGAATATTTGCTCGAGTCAAAACAGACCTACGTTAATTTGTCCGGGGTTTCCAATCACCGATTCGAGAGGTATTTTTAAGTAGTTGTACGTCTTTCCGACGATGACTACAGGTACCGAGAAGTCACTTCATTAATGTTTGACTTTATTTGAATGCCGGAGTGTGATAATGGAAAAGTTTGTAAATTTTTAACTGGAAAAGAATGTGGGTATTATATACTTAACGTGAATGAAATCTAGCTTCATTAAATGTTCCGTTTTTTTAAAGTTTGTTTAAGTTTAAACGCTTGATTACAATAATGATATCAATAATATGATACCGATTTTACAATAAATCAAATCTATTCTTTTTCCCTTCTTCATAATTATGAATGTCATTAAAAATATGATAATTAAATATCACAATACTGGTAGGTGTCCAGCCTGGTTCCTTAAGATCCTTCAGTAAACTCCCTTTGTTTTTAAAACTTTTAATAGTTTATTTTTTAGCTTCAATGTTGGTTTTTTTTCTTTGCCAATCCAGCCTGGTTCCTGTCCTGTAATAGCTATCCAATAGGGCAAAGTCGTTTTGTTTTCAAGAAAACACTTGTTATCTTCGTTTTGTACATTAATGGTTGCATTTTTGTTTTCTATGAATGCTGGTAATGGTATATATGACGACCCTCCTAAAGGCTTATGTAGTAAGAGTAAACGCTTGGCTACAATAATGATATCAATAATATGATATTGATTTTACATAAAATCAAATCTACTCTTTTTCCCTTCTTCATAATTATGAATGTCATTAATAATATGATAATTCAATATCCCAACAACTTTATCGGAAATTTAACTCTGTACTTAATGGATGGGAACGATGTTTGTTTTAAAACACCTTTTTTATGCTCCAGCTTAAACCAGATTCAATAAAACGATTTCAAAATAAGAAGCTGCTATAGGTAGGTGTCCGGCCTGGTTCCTTTCCTGTAATACCTATCCAAAAGGGCAACGTTGTTTTATTTTCAAGCGAAAATCTAAAGTAAAAAACGATAATGAATTAATTATCAAAAAATTGACCTTGAATATTATTTATAGGTGATATAAGTTCATTATGTAATAAGCTGTGAACTTTTACTATGTTTTTGCTATACAAGCGTTTGCATCCAACTACACTAAATTTATTCGTCATTATTGTCTGTTTAATATCATAATCCAAATTGATCTGTTCAAAATTCTTCAATTGTTCTGTATTTCTCAGTATTTGAGTTGTAGGCACGTCCTTGTAACTGGAGTTAACCACACTTCATTCACGATAAAAGCATATAACACGAAAAATTATACATTACATAACTTTTTTTTAGTAAGTAATCGCTTGATATTAATGGTAAACGTATTGGTTCTATCAATTGGGGAAAATTAGTATGAATGGCTTTTTGAATCGTTATTAGTTATTCATACTATTATAGTTAAATGTTGTGCTTATAGCATTTGTTGTCAAAATAAAGTATTTAATTAAGTAGTTTACTCTTTTCGAGGCAAATGTATTTTTTAGATTTTTGGCTAAAGTATGAACTATTTATGAGAATCTTTTTTTTTAAATTTTCAATCCTTAGCTATAAAAACTGAAAATTTTATGATTTATTAATTACGATGATTAATAATTTTCGAGATTTTGAAAAGTTCTGTCAAAATTCGATGTTTAAATGCTTATAAAACAAAATTAAAATTGGAAACTGAAAATGCCCGTAAACAGCTCAAAAAGAGTCAACAAATTTTCAAAATTGTATGGTGTATAGGAAATGCTAATATAAACATTCAGTGAAATTTTCATGTATCTACAGTAATTCGTTTTTGAATTACAACAAAATAAGGAAACCGCTACATGAGAAATCGAGTGAATATCCAATGTTGTAAAAATTTGAATTTCAAACGCTCATAAAAAAAAATTTAATTTGACTTTCTTATAGAATTTTTTTTTTTATAAATGTAGAAAATCTTATAACGATGGAATTACATTTTCATATCTTAGATTTAAAAAGAAAAATTTTTATGAATTTCTAAGTCAAAATAATTTGCAAATTTTCGTGATTTATCCATATTTTGTCATTTTTTGAACTTTAAATGCTTAAAAAGAAAACTGTGACTAACGATTTTTAATATTTTTCATCTGTCTTTGAAACGATATAGTAGGAGCCTTGTATTAAATTTTTAAGTATTTTTACTCAACAAATAAATTTTTATTGATATTCATAAAAAAAAAAAAAACTAATAAAATTGGAAACTGAAAATGTCCCTAAACAGTTCAAAATAAATCAAAATATTTTGAAAATGTTATCGTGTATAGAAAATGCAAATATAAACAAACACTGAAAATTGCATTTTCAGGAAGGGAGTGATGCCTCCGGCTCCGGGGGTGAAAGATGTAAGGATATAATATAAGTACTTTAGTTAATAATACTTTTATTAATAATTCTAATCAAACATATTATTTTCAGGTACCGAAGCCGAAGCCGGCACAGCCAAAAGGGAAGATAAGTAAGTTTTTTTCAGATGTTCAATAAACTAAATGACTTCAAAACATGACTATTTCATTTACAATTATATTTTATTTTCCTTTTACTTTAGGACTGGATATTTTTAAATGACTATGTGTGTACTGCGTGTACGGTATGAATGATTCTTTTTTTTTAATTTCTATTAGTTACCAATACATATAGTTCATATTATTACATCACAATAAATTATATTTGTGGTGTGTGGATCAAATAAGATAATAGTTAAAAGGGTTCTAAGGATTTCAGGGAAATTAATGACCTGATGTAGGTATTGCATAGGATGACTAAAGTGTGTAACAAATAAAGAAATACGCAATCAGTACGACGTCATTAAAAGATTTTAGAATCAATAGACTGCAATGAGTACCATGTAAATGAAGTAGTACCAGAAAATGAAAAATCTAACCTAAATTGTATAAATATGACTAATAATATAAAATAAATAACACAACTATTAAATATACGTTTTTACATAAAAATACCTATAATACCTATTATAATTTATAATATGTAGTATTAAAAGAAAAAGTTTACAGCAAATTGTACAGTGGCATTACTCCACTAAAATCAATAAATTAGCAGTCTACCAAGTCACTATATTATTGAATGGTACTTGAAAAAGTTAGACATAAAAAATGTAAATAATATATGTGTTTCCGTCTCATCTGAGAGTTACTATTCACAGCAATTGACCCAGTGACAAAATGAATTATATCAATTAGTGAATAAAATAGTGTCATCAGTGGTGTTTTAATATTTAAAACAGTAATAATAATAAGAAAAAAAATAATCAACAGCAATTTGCAGTGTTGTAATGTGTACAAAATGTCGTATTACACATTATCTTATATAATATACGAGTATTATAATGTATTACCTATTAGATTAGATTAGATTAGATATAAAACGAAGAAGAAAGGAACACAGCTAAATGGTGTTTAAACAGAAAATACCTACAATAGCCATTCGAACACTGCCATAAAAATGCAAATAATATAATATGCAGTATCTTATCATTTATATACCTACAGTA